TCTTCTTCACAAATACAAGTGTGTATACATCTTGTAAAAAAGAAAGCTTAAAGAAGGAACCTAAACCATAGGAGCCTTAGCAACTCTACAATCTTCGTAGATTAAACTATTTTTACCTATGTTTGTCAACCTTTGTGATATCCTAAAGATAATTATCGTTAAATCATAAAGAACCCGCCTATATCTCACCATTTAATATAATTTATTCTCTTGAACTTTCTAATTTTTTTTCTAAAGAAAAATAGAATATATATATATATATATATATATATATATATATATATATATATATATATATATATATATATCCAAAGTCAAAGTTATTGTTCATTTTGTTTATTTATTTCTAAAATCAAAAATAACTACATCAAGATCAAGTTACAAGTTTTACCACATATAATACAATATAATACAAGATGCAAAATAAGAATCTCTCGAAATAATAATTATCATATTTACATTTTTTCCCCTCAATTAATTTTGATGTTATAGTTTCATCTCTGGTAATTTTAAAGTTAAATGATTGGTATTTTAGAAGTTGCGGTTTCAATCCTTACTATATTTTTATAGTTACATTTTTTGTCCGTACATAATTTGAATTTAGAGTTTTTGCTTTTATTAATATTAATATTTATTATTATATTTTATTATTTAATTTTCATTTATGGTATTGGAAGCAATATATACTTTCAAACTTTATTTTGGCCTTTCTTTTGCATGCATAATTATTTGGATCAAAACATAATTATTTGGATCAAGACTTTACTAGGGGTAATATAAACGTCAAAATCCATCGAAAATTTGATAGTTGGAAATGAATGAGAGATTTTATCATACCATTGATCCTTTTATTGATTCAAAAAGTTAAAAATTCTAAAACCAGAATCATTCTAATATGTATTATGTTGAAACAGTTAAATATGTAGGGCTTCTGATGAAGTAAAGGCGACAATTAATACTAGCAAAAGGAAAAGAAATTGAAAACCCATTCTCACAATATCCGTTTAGCAAGAGAGAGGGGTGAGTTATGTAAAAGCTCAAATACATGAAAAAACGAGATGGAACAAAGATGCAAAAAAGGAAATAATGAAAACTAAAGATCGGGTACGGAATACAAAATGATCTCTTTCAAAGCAAGCACGTGAAATGAGGGTTGGGGTTCTAGAGATGAATGATAAAGTAGCATAATAACTTGAGGCGAAAAAAAAAAACAAAAAACAAAAAAAACAAAAACAAAAACAAAAAAACCTTTGCGTACGAGTTTTCATAATGGCAAATTATAGATGATTAGGAGTATTCAACTTCCTAAATATTCAAGTATGGTTAGTAGATACATTTATAGAGAATCATGAAATACATTTATAGAGAATCAGGAGTATTCAACTTCCTAAATATTCAAGTATGGTTAGCAATCATGAAATACATTTATAGAGAATCAGGAGTATTCAACTTCCTAAATATTCAAGTATGAGTAGTTAGCTTCCTAAGTAACTAATAAAAAGAAAGTTATTTGACATGACTAATTAAAGCATATTCTTAACACTCCTCCTTGGCTTTTGTGAGGAAATGCAAAACCCTATTGTAGTGAACATCACCTGTTATGAATCTGACAGCCATGTAATTATACTCTGATGCAGGGGCATAAGCTGTCTGTATTCAATTTTGCATCACAAATTCTCCTTCTTATTCGATGGGTTCTGCACGATAAATAAAAAGGATATCACATGGACTTGGGTGGTTCTGGTTTAAAAAGTTAAAGAAAGCAAGGAAGTCCAATTTCATGGGATGATAAGATTACGAGCATACACATTTACGAGCATCATACACATTCTTTGCTATGATTAAAAAGTGCGTTTGCCGGGAGTCGAACCCGGGTCTATTGCTTGGAAGGCAATTATCCTAACCGTTGGACTACAAACGCTTGATATGCATTTTTGCAAACCAACAGTATTACAAATATCTGTAGTCCTAATTTAAAAAAAAAACACTGGATCTCATATTCTAAGAGCTTTTAAAAGTCAGTTCAGTTTAATATATTTTAAACAGCTAGGTAGCATTGAGTTCCACACCATAATAGTTATTTTTATTTTTATTTTTCAAACTTGAAATAATACCATTTTATATGTATATAGTTTTTTCAACTTGAAAATGTGTAATTTGTATTCAGTTCAGGGTTCAGTTTGAGACTAAACCTGTTCCGAAACACCAAAACCAATTAAGATTGGTCTGTTTTTTTGGTTACTTTCCATATTCTATTCTAAAAGGGTTTTGTATGGTTTATGTTGGAGACTTAATGTCATCAAGCATTTAAGGTAATTGGTATTTACCCATCTATCTAAAAGGTATTTAGGTTATGCTCAAGTAAGAGTTAGGGAGCATGCAGTGTACACTCATATAAACTAGTATTATCGTGGACGCAACAAATGGTCCTGAAGGTGTAGGTATTTAAGCCCTGAAAGGCGTAGATTTTGAAGCCTAGGTCATGAAACATTGCCAAAAGTGTAGGTAGTGAAGGCTGCTACTGATGGCTTTAAGGCAAGCTGCCAATATCCAAAACTGCTGATCCACTTTAATGAAAATTTTGGTTTACATACATGATTTGATCAGTAAGTCTAGGGTCTAACTCTTGCATTCTAAAACAAACTAGCCATACTCTTGTTTAGTGCTCGACTTCCTGTTTTGCAGCCCAACTTGAAGTTGTTTTTCAAGTGAATAATTCCCAAGTAGATTTTGCCACAGATAATTGCATTACAGATCATAATAGTACTTACAAATCGTGTATAACGCAATCTAATTTGATATCCAAGTTTTATTGACTATCATTCACAGTCGAGCCAAAGTGAATCCCAGCCCTACTCATATAGAATCTCAAGAAATAGTATTTTTCAAGAAATGAATGAGTTTAACCTAAATTACACATAATGAGTTTATACTTTAACATCAATTCTAATAAATATGTCTCTAACTTCAAGTAATAATTGTGCCTGCAATCCAGAAATAAAGGTTTTGTCCTATAATACCTTGGTGCTATGACCCATTAATTAAGTTCAATACGTCACAGACGAACGCAATCTAATATGATAATCTTCAAATATCATGTATTTAACATTTGGGATCCACCTACATTAAGTAGAAAAAAACATTACACAAACTCAACATTTAAAAAATGCAACATATTGTTTATTAATGGAATTTATTTAACAAAAAATTATCTCCATTGTTTGTCCACTAGGTTAGAATGAGTGAAGTGGCACTTTGATTGAGAACCAAGTGTTGCATGGTGACCATCCTAACAAATTCAATCATATCAAGCACAACAGTATAACAAGACGAAGAAGTACATATCCCCAAGAGCGTATCATAGCTGGTTTATTGATGGTATACTTGCAGAAAATGAATAGATCAAACATAAGAAATTTAAGCAAATGAAGATATAGAAAATGAAATGACATGACAATCAAGAACCAGGATGTAGTAACCATATGTACATGAGTAGATCCTGCATAAAAAATTAAGAATCAAAATAGTAACATGCAGATTTAAAGAAACACAGATAATTAAATGAAGGCATACACTTTTATGAGAAAGTCTATCACAACATTTTTTTGTTAAAAGCTTTCCACAAGATGCTAAAGTGATGGTATTCAAAGCATTTTTTAACATCATCAGACACGATATTACTAGAAAGTAAGAGTTCGTCACACTTTAAAAACATCAAACATACGTTTCTGAAATCCATCAAGCACAAGCTATTGAAATCCATCAAACACAATTTATTAACATAAGATACTAAAAACTATCAGAAGCTATCTTTATGGCAGAGAGAACAAGCAATGCCATATCATCCAAACTGCTTCAACAGCCTCAAACTTTTCCACTTGCTCCTGGAACCGAAGGGTCTCGCTTAATCAACTGAGAAATCAAAATGGGAAGTCAGTGAACAGTCAACATTATATATACTAGACTCAAAGACTAAATAGTAGTTGCAATTGAAGTGCATTGCAAGAATACAAATAAATGAAGGCCAAATGTATACTGGGTGAAGGTAATGAGTCTGTTACACTTCTTATTAGGCTTACGTTTCGTCCTGTCAGTTGTGGCTTAAGTAGAGCAGTGAGGGAAATAAGGTCTTTTTACTGTTAGATCAGTTAGCCAGGCTTAGTTTCATTCCACTCCATAATGGAAATTTAAAAAAACATCCAAACGACAACGCAGTGACAATTAACAAACTGGAAGAAATCAAATTGCTTCAAGAATTGCCCATTCCATTCCACCGGGCAAGACAAACAGACTTTTCTCATTCCTATGGAATGAACCATTCCATTCCTTACCATACTCCATGATACCAAACACTATCTAAATGTAAATAGAATAAGGAAAAAATAAACTTAAGTAAGTTCAATGATCAAAACTATAAACTATAGATAATGTCCATTTGCAGACCTCATATATTACAAAAGAAAATGAAAGCATCCCATGAGTAAACATGAAGATTGAGCTATGAGGCCAAGATCAACACAATTTTTTAGGGATGAACAAGAATCATCATAAACATTAATAAGAATTCAGAATCAAGATATAATTCCACAGTTTGTATTATATGATAAACAAAATGAACGCACCTTACAATTCTTCTTGCTATTACTCTCTTCTGTCTTTCTCTTTGGCCTCCCGTTAACATAGGGAGATACAAGACTCTCCATATAGATAGGGGCACAAATATACTCCCTAGTCTTGTAGAACAGCATATCACGACACAATGTTCTCTTGTTAGGAATGTAATGTTCCTGCTCTTTCAAGCATTGTAAAGCTAAGTTCATATCACAGTCCTTTTCAAACATTCCCCAAGACAGCTTTCCATTATAGTTCTTCAGCATCCATAAGTTATCATTAAACCCATCACAAGGAAATACGCATAAACAATCTTCCATAATACCTAAATTCATATTTGGGCGGCTAGCAACACCAGATTCATATCGCTCATCATCAGGTTGGGGAATTTAGATAAATTTTTCTTCAGATAGCCGAAACGAAGTAATGACTCTCTTCTTATTTGGAGATGAAGAATCTTTCATAATCCAATGAAGTGCCCCATTGCATAAGATACCAATCCTACTAAGAAACGAATACTTTACATCTCCAATTAGTTTCCAAACATTTGATTTCAAACTTAACACTTGAAAACATGTCCAACCAACACGTTTACGGAACTCTAATACAACCTTGTAATCATCCGTAGATGAATCATAGCCAAAACCCCAACAGAAATGCTTGGTATCATGAATTTGAGGGTCTTGTAGTGTTTGAACCTCTCTAGTTGAGGGATTAGTTACTACAAGTTGAGAAGCAAAAGAAGAGATGCATACAAGTCCATTGGAAGAACCAAGAAGATGACAATCACGATCATCAAAGAATCTGTCATCAACATAACAAACACGCGACCCGTTGCGATAAGAGACCCTTGACATAACAATCCTCCTATCTATATCATTGTTTTTGTAATCAATTTGGTAACTATAGTTCATATGGAATTTTATGAAACCAGAGTCAGAGATCAATTTTTCCCAAGACTTACACACACTTTTGCATCGGATTAGATCCCTCACATTCAATCTTTTCAGTATATTCGGAAGGACATCACCATGAAGCTCTGCCATCGAAACCCTAGAGTCGGCAATCCGAAAGGAAAGAAACGGGGGGGGGGGGTGTACCTAGACGATAGCGAGAAATTTATTTCTATGGTGTATTTATTAGGGATTTTAGTTATCAACACTCATAAATGCAAAACATGATATGATGAAATTATTACCACGATATTTTACCATTTAGAGAGATTCATTTACTGAGATGGCTTTTACAAACCTGTCATATATGATTAGTACTTCAATACCCATAAGATCACTAATGCGATCTAGATCATGATCTTTGATAATTGCTTTGCTATAACAACTAAAATAAGTGTTAATGACATACCTTCATTCTTGAGTATTTCTCTTGTGCTTCCTTTAAAAAGTCCACTAACATGTATTTATCATAAGTTGGTAGAGGTTGTGGAACAGGGAGACAAATTATACCGCCATCATGAAGAGGAAGGAGGAGAAAGTGAATGTTGGGATAACAATAGAACAAGTTAAGCACTTTAGACAAATGTCAAACAAACTTCAGTGATACTTGCAGAATAAAACTTCTGAAAAAACTTAATTCAAAACTGAACACATTATTTATTAAACTTGTGAAAATTTAATGTGGTTCAGTTGAGATGACCTACGTCCACGGGCGAACGAGAGAAAGAGGATTTTATTAAACTTCTAAGAACAATTATAATCACACATAAATGTTACATTTCACTTGAGCTTTCAAAAGAAAATAATCTTTCTTGCTTACTAATTGCTCCAAAAGATGTGCACTCAACTTCACAATGATTGCTCTCTTGAAATTACTGTGTACACAATCACGCAAGGAATAATGAATGAGGATATGAGCCTATTTATAGGCAAGCATGGAAAACCTTAATTCAGATGGGTCTGACTCATCCATAATTAGCTCAAGAAGGGGATGCCCTAAGTTCCAATCAATCACGGAATGCATGTGGGAGCTTCTAGAACCTTTGACTTCATAAGCATCGTCCATGAGCATCATCCATAACCATTGTCTATGATCATCATCCATGAGCATCGTCGATGAGCATCTTCAACTCATGAGCATCCCCCTTTAGCATCTTCAACATATGACACCTGATGCTCACACGTGATACGTGATCCCTGATGCTCACCCGAGCTTCCATGTGCTCTATTGATCCCGGATGCTCCATGTACCCGGTAGCTCCAAGTGCTCAATGTTGATTCTTGATACTCACACATATATCTAAGCGTAAGGATGTCAATGGGGGCAAACGGGTAGAGGGTTGCATCCCCCGCCCCCGCCCCCAAAATTGCCATGTTTCCCCGCTCCCACCCCACCCCCTGAATTCCTGAATTACGCCCCGCCCCCGCCCCCAATTGATTTTATGTTACCTTTTTTTTACGCTAAATGAAGTTCTTTTTTGGGCTAAACGTAAATAATTTTTTGGAAAAGAAAATAGTTCTTTATAACAAAATTGTAAATGTTAAAAACAAAAATGCTATGACATCTCAAAAACATCAGAATGGAAACTTAAAAACTTTTTTTTTTTGCTGAATTTTGGCAGCTCAACGGGACCCCATGAGACTTTCAGGACGGGACTACCCACCCCCACCCCTGCCCTGAAGTTAAAACGGGGTTCCGTCCTTGCCCCCACTTTTTTAAAACAAATACCTCACGTATGGGATCGGTGTCCTACGAGACTTTTTGACATCCCTATCTAAGTGTTCCATTAACATACCAAATGCCCCAATGAAATATAGATGCTCCATTGAATTTGATCAAGTGTTCACACCCTAACAGTGAACTGCTTCTAGTGGCCTACATAGAAGAAGTTAGGAAAGGATATGGATGGTTACATGATTTGAGATATTCGAACCACATGAGTGGAGATTGATCATGGTTCTCAAAGTCACACGACCATAGTTAAACTTGGAAACAAAATGATAATGAACACGCCTACTTAAGGTAATGCTAAGATCAAATTGAATGGAATCAATCATATAGTTTGTGATATGTACAATGTTTTGTAGTCGAGGAACAAATCTTAATATGTCACGGCTACAAGAAAGTGGTCAAGATATCTTGACAAAAAGAATGGGTAATATTTTTCATCCCAACAAAGGTTTGATTATTAAGACCTTAATGGGTGCAAGTAGCATGTGTATGTTGTCTATTGAATCACAACCTCAACCCAGTTGAAATGAAGACTGCTTGATCACCATTCACAAAAGGATAACAATTGAAATGTAACTTTGGCACAGATTGTTGTGGAACTTAAATTGTACATGGAACTTGTACATGCAGACCTTTACGGACCACGTCAAACAATAATAAGAGTTACAAGTTTTGTTTTATTATATTGATGATTTTAGTAGAAACTTTTGGGCATATCTTTTTGATATAGAAAAATTAAGACACATTACTACTTCAAATGCTTCAAGAAATTAGTTAAGAAGGGAACAGGTTTTCTAGCGAAGTGTCTAAGATATAACATAGGTTTGAAATCGACTTGATGAATTTAAGGAAACATGTAAGGAAAAAGGAATATAAATATAACTTGCATACAAATGCTTACATGGACTAGCAAAATGGAATCTCTAAACGAAAAAAAAAACGATCATTATTAAAATGGCTAGGAGTTGTTTTATCTAACGATGAATGCCAAATAGACTATTTTATGGATAGATCTACCAATACAACTTTGATTGATATCAATCCTGAAAAAGCGTGGAGTAGTAATCGCCCCTATGTTTCATATTTATGTGTATTTGGTTGTTTAACAAATGTTCATGTACCATAACAATAGAGAATGAAGCTCCATGACAGGAGCGTGGATCTAAGGCCTATAATTTGCTCAATCCCAATATTAACAAAATCAAAATTACAATGAATGTCATTTTTTTATGAAGATAATGGATAGTGTTGTAGCAAATCACATAGTAGAATGATTTGAAAGAGACCGGATTCTTAGACAAGCTCGGATCTCCTACCTGTGTAACACTCCGTTCCCCTTCCATACTGTCATTGTAAGATCTTTCGAATTTACAATCATATCCCCCATGTTTGCATCCATTTAATACCTAATATTACATCGGTGACCTAACTCTAGAGGGAAGAAATCATCTACGACTAGTAGATCGTGAAACACGATAATCATTTTTTTTACCAGTAGTTCATGCAATGCCTTGTGAGACAAAGTTACCTTCCATCAATTAGTACCACTATTTCAAGACTGCCCATGTTTTTGTGTAGTTTCATAGTCTATGGGGGTGTTAACACTATAACCGAGTTTAATGTGACTTCCATTGTATCTAAGTGAGCATGATCCTGATTTGTATTAGACGGTTCTTCCTGATCCTCTTCTTCATCTTCGTCTCTCAATACACTACTTGATGGCCTGGTGCGAACTTGGCATCGCATTTGAAGCATAACCCTTTTGCCCTTTAGCTGCGAGTTCATCCTTTCAAAATCTTTTGAACGTCCTCAGCTATCCCCATGCACCTCTAACTTTCCTATAGGAGGTTACCATATCTCTATATGTTGATCGGAATAGCCAACCCCCGATCATGCCCCTCTCCCATCAACACGGTTCTCGTTACCGCCAATCGCATTGTGCGGGTCAATCCCTAGGGTTGTATGACCCTCACCGAAGATCTGAGTTTTGATTTTAGCTTCTTGATGGAAGTTCCTTCCAATACCAGTTTCCAATGCTTCATTTTGCTTCCACAGCCCATTGGTGTGTTGTTGTTGATCGGAATGGCCCACCCCTATCGTGCCCCTCTTCCTTCGACACAGTTCTCATTACCACCAATCGCATTGTGTGGGTAAGTGTTGTGAAATACGAAGGATCCGAATAGACTTAAATAATATTAGCTCAATGCGGAATGGGATCAAAAATTATCAAAGCGTAATAATCACAACGAAATACGAGTAAAATAAATAGAATAGAGACACAGGAATTTACGTGGAAACCCAAATCGGGAAAAAACCACGGGCGGAGGAAGCCGAGAAACAATTCACTATAATTTGCAGTGTTTACAGGGATTATGAAAGAGATTACAAATAGAGTGAGAGGGCTAAAATATATGGTGGTGTATCAGTATATATATATATATATATATATATATATATATATATATGTAATGTTTTACTATATATATATATATTTTGATTGTTGGGTTATTCGTGGGTTAAATCTCTCTGGCTATTTATAGCCAAAGAGGAGAATACAAATGAAAGAAGAAAACAAAAATGCCGTCCAAGACAAAATTGCTGCGCCTACAATCTTCAAATTCATATTGCATATTACTATACACATATAATAATGTCTGCGCCTCCATTCCGTCCAATTTCATTTTCAATTTCATATTAGATTACTATTCATAGTCAAAATATGAATAGTAAATGATAAGTTACGGAAATAACCCCTAAACTATTTGCCACTTGCTAATTTTGGAGGCAACTTTTCCACAATCTCCACCTTGACATCAAAATTAAGCAAGTCATGCTTTACGATTAGTCAAAACCTTTAGCTCATCAAACTCTAAAACTTCCATAAAAAACTGCAATTTTGTATAGAGAAAAATTGTTTCCGAAAAAATAAATAATACTTCCTCCACCACGAGCCTTCAGGCTCAACTACGATCAGAAACACCCACCATGTCCAAACATAATTTGAACTTGGCTATAGGAAGACTTTTAGTGAACATATCAGCGGGATTATAATCTGTATGAATCTTGTCCACAACACAATCACCTTTTTCAATGATATCCCGCACAAAATGATAACGAATATCAATATGCTTTGTTCGGTCATGAAACATTTGATCTTTACTCAAGAAGATAGCACTCTGGTTGTCACAGAAAACTGTGGTCACCTTTATTCTATCATCGAGTTCTCCGAATAACCCCTTCAACCAGATATCTTCCTTAACTGCTTCTGTAATCGCCATGTACTCTGCCTCGGTAGAAGACAGGGCAACTGTAGACTGTAACTGGGCTTTCCAACTAACAGCACAACCATTTAGTGTAAACA